ATTTCCTGAAAAGTTATCCCTCAATTCTGACTGGTTGCTTGGAATATTGTTCCAGGATCAACAAGGATGTTGATTCAGAAACATGTTGTACTTGGTGAAAATCACGCTTGCCGTATTACCCATAATGCAATGAAACAGTAAGTCATGTTTGGAATAGCAAAAAAAAAAAAAATCACTTATTTAACATAACCATGGGAAAGAGCGTTTGTGAGAAACACCGTGTCCTCATTACCATGTCAACATGTCATATGGTGCCGTTACAAAACATTAAATGGCTATTTCAGCTTCAGTGAATTGGTGTCCATGGCAACTGTGAATGAAGCAAACCAATTCCATGAAGTGCAGAGGTCTAATTTAGCCATTTCTTTGAGAGAGTTCAATGCCTCTCGTCTTATCAAAATGAGTCATCCATAATCATCATGACAGAAACTGAAGAAAACAAAGCAGGACTTTTGAATAAGGGGCATCAAGGTCATCTAATTTTATTAATCTTTTTTTTCTTCACTACAGTACAGCCCATCTTGACATTCACTTACACAAAATACTGTGCAATTCATAACATTACAGGACCTACAACTACACAAACAACAGAAAACATGATCTGATGTTAGCGAACCCAACACCACTTACATATAAACATAAATTAGACTAAGAGAAATTAGTGAATTTATAGATAGGAAATATTAACATTTTACCTAGATTTATAAAAAGAGACCACGTAAGGAATGCAAAGAATCGAAAGATTGAAATGCAAGATGAAAGAAATTATGTGCTTTACAAAACTTTAAAACTCCCCAACATCCACCCTTTTGTCCCGAAACTTGTTCCTGGCCTTGGTTCGAGCTTTAAACGCAGCTGCATTGTAGAGGTGCTGAAAGAACAAAAGGATACAAATTATACAACAATGGAAATCCATAATTTCTGAAATATACAGCGCAAATTTAAAAAAAAAAAAAAAATTAAAAACGCCAAACATCTTTCCTTCCCTCTCCAGTCTTGAGCTCTTCATAGCTTTCAGAGCAGTAGAATCGATCAACATCGGTGGTCCCAGTTCAAACACGTCTCTAATGAACTCATTCGCCTGTGGTCAAAATTTTAATTTAATAAACGCTTCAAAGATCCCATTTTTGGATCTATTCGCAACACCTGAGAGCTTTACCTGTAGATGGTAGTTCATCCCAGAGCCAACAAACTCTCTGAAGGCATCATAAGTCCTCTTCCTCACCCAGCTGTCAATGACCATTCGCTCTGTGCCGAAGCGGATTGTCTCGCTTTGAAAATCCCCTTCCTGTTCCTGACACAGAAGAGAGGTCAGAGTCTGAGCTGCAGCACCCAGGAGTCTGTCAACTATGACAACTGTTCACTTCCTATCTCACCTCTACGGCCTTGAGGACATCTCTGAAGACGGACCTTTGCTTCCTCTTATCGGTCTTGGCTCGGTGTTTGTTGCAGTCAGTGGCTAAAGCGTTCAGCTTCTCACACAACGGCTCCCAGCCATCATAATCAAACTCCTGTGAAGGTACCGGTCACATTATATTAGAATCCAAGTAAAAAAATAAAAAATCCAAATAAAAACAAAATGACAAAATACCTTATTTGCAAATTAATTCACTAAACTATTACAACAATTTTATTTAAAGTCAAATACATTAAATTAATTTTATTATTATGAATACATTTTACACATTAATTAATAAATCATTTAAATTAATATTTTTTAATTGTTGTTTAGTATTTTTTAAACAATTTTAAAAATAATTTAAAAATATTTTGTAATTCAATATTTTAATACCATTTTCAATATAACGATTTGATTAAATATTTAAATTAATTCTTTATTAAATACAATACTTGATGAAATTTTAATTAGTTGATAATTTCAAATAAATTGACTTAAAATATGAAATGTTAATTTTATTAAACGCAATTAAATTAAATTTAATACTTTATTTTCATATTAAATAAAAATAAATTGATATAATTTTACTATTAATACACACGACTTACAGGGTCAACATCTCTGATGAGCTCAAACAGGAGGGCGATGGTCTCGCCAGCAGCAATCCGCATGTTGACATTGTCATTCTCCAGCAGACGTGGCAGTTTAGAGAGATGTCTGAAAACAATCAAATTAGCTTAGAATAAACCTGAGAAAATGTTGTACCTTATGCAGAGTTCACACTGCACGATTTTCAAACTCGTCGTATCGCCGTTGTTTTCACACTGCGTGACTATCTGGGGTAGCATTCAGTTGTTGCTGTGTTCACACTGCACGATGGATCGGCGACAGGGGGTTTCACATTGCATGACTTCACAATAGGAAGAATCGCCGACAGCTCTGTCTGGTCCACAAACTACATTTCACAACAAAACACACGCAAGAAGAGACAAGGAAATAAAATATATATATATATCTCCTGCAAATTGTCTGTGAGCTGATTTCCAGCTACAAGGAGAAAAAGAAAACCAGATTATGCAGGAGGGAGATGCAGGGAACAGGGATTGGGTGTTCTGAAAAGAGAGTTGGAGGTAAATAATTTTGCAGTAACTGTTATGCTGATGTTGTGGCTGGTCAAGCAAATGTTTGTGCTAGTTTCTGTATGGCAATTGTTCATATCTATTAAAATACTGATATTCTGGTCCATAACTCCTCCCCGAACTTCCCGCTGCCCTGTATCTTGGTCTCTCGTTGGCTGTAGGTCATCGCCGATGTAGTTTTCAGTCAGAACTCATTGCATACTGCGTGATTGTGAATCGCCGACAGCTCCAGATATTTAGCATTCCAAATATTTCACGGGCGTCGGCGATTCCATCAGATCGTGTCTTTGATAATTCACACAGCATTATTTTCACTCGCGTGAACGAGCACCGATTTGCCTCTGATTTCGGGGCATTTGTCGGCGATTTCGCAAAACCTGTCGGCGAGTGAAAATTCGGGCTAAAATCATGCAGTGTGAACTCGACATTAGTTTGTAGGTCGCAACATCTCCTTCAGTATCCGTTTGGGAGTTCCATCAAAGATCTAACGTCTAAAAACGGTTTCCCTACACTTACTTTGGTGCAATGACCCTGATGTGGCTGCCAGTGCAGATGGTAAGTAGCAGCGCCCAGGACAGGAGAGCGTTTGTGTGGAACTGTGTGGTTTGAGGATTCACAGAAGGTCTGCTTCCATCTTCTCTGACGTATGAGTGAGTGAAGAGGCTCTCAAAAGACTCCATAGTGGCATACACATCCTGGAGGTGACACAAACATCAGGTTTGAATCCTGAAAGCCTTTGAGGCATCAACATGTCTAAGTGCATGGAAGAACTGCTCAACACAT